GCACGGGTACAGTCTAGGGTGACCAGATGTCCCGATTTTATAGGGACAGTCCCGATTTTTGGTTTTTTTTCTTATATAGGCTCCTATTATCCCCCCACCCCTGTTGTCTGGTCACCCTAGTACAGTCTCACAGAAAATGTTTTCTGTAAAAGGGGAAGCTATGATTAAAAATTCTTAAAATGGTGATAGTTTCTTCTTGTTCCCAGGCCTGGTCTACCCCAGAAAGTTTTAAAAGCATAGTTATATCAGTTAAGCGGGAGTGTGTGGGGGAAATCACATCCTTAACTGACATAGTAATGCTGGCAAAAGCCTGACTGTAGTTATACTGGCAAAAAGTCCTTTTGCTGATGTAACTTATTCTGTTTGGGGAAGTAGTTTAAGATCTAGTTATACTGTCAAAAGGACTCTTTTGCCTATATTAACTGCATCTTTGCGAGGGGTATTTACCAATATAGTTCTTCGGGTGTATCGATACTGGCTAATCCTTTTAAGTGCAGGCAAAGCCTAAGGGAACTTGTTTTCTTCTCCTTTACTGAGGAAATGAAATTAGTGGTATGGTGTACCTTAGATTTATGCCTAAAATCTCATTGTAATATTTAGTATTTTAATACTCCAATAAAGATAGTTTGTAAACTATATTGATGGTAATATTAAGAATGGGCTAAGCCTGAAATATTTATGGAATTATAGTACTTTCATTTAAATCTTAGCTTCCTATGAAATGTGGAAACATAAATCACATTCTTTAAATCTCATTAAATAGTTAGTTTCCTTAGCTAGAGCTTGTATTGTCAGAATGTAATGATAAAAAAGATGGACAGATCATTTGGAAGGGCGTATTAGAGATAAGCTTTGTGGGTTTGATTCAAGCCTAACAACTCTCCATCTAGGGGAATTTGGATCTAGATCCAAACCTTGTAGCTGGTGTGCATCTCTAGTATTGCTTATTTAGATAAATGTGAACAATGTCAGGTTTTTTGAGATCTTATCAGTTGTAACCATATTCTCCACATTCCCTAAACTAACAAAACTGATAAATCTTCTCCACTACCATAATTCAATTGTAGAATATATTCATGTATATGATGAAACATAGTAGTGCCATTTTTCTCTTAATAAGTGCAATTAAGATGTTTGATGTAGAGGTTTCTTTCTCACTAACCTCACACTTTTCCCCCTGCCTGTAGAAATGCTTTGCGAACACAGTACTTAATAATTTTCTTCCTCCATCTTCTTTATCTCCTCCATCCAATGTACTTACTTTGGATTAGGAAAGTAGGAAAAAGTTCCCTTCAGAACTTATGATGATGTCCCAACAAGTGATAGTCCGGCAGAGGGTGGGAAACAGTTTTACAGTCAGCAAAGGGTTTCCCTCTCAAGATGAGTTTTATTACTATAGAGACAGATTGTCAAATACCTGTATCCAACAAACTGAATGCAAATTTAAAATAATTACCTCTCTGGTGAGTCTCCATGGTGTTTTCAAGGGTATATAGGCAAATAACTGTGGATAAAAGAATATATAATTAGAGATGTCAAACAAGAAAAGAGAGAACTGGAAACAATGAGAAATACGCTAAATGATAGCTGTGGGTTGATAGGACAAAATGTCAAGAGAAAAGAGACATAACTTTCACACTTTATACAGTGGGTTTTAGTCTTAATGTTTTAAGGTTCACTTTCTGGATAAGCAGTTAGGAATAGACCTTTTGGTAAAGCTTTTCTGACAATATATAGAAATATGTTCAATATATACTGCTTATCAGAAATGTGTTTTACTGTTGTTGAGAACAGTTTGAAGCATGTATCACTGGATATTATAGTATGCAATAATAGCAGTATACAAAGTTATGGTTGAGATAACCTTTTGGATTAAAAATGTAATGGTTGTTCTCAGACCAATGGAGAATATTTCAAGAGAGTGGGGAGGGATGCTTAAAGGACCCTGAGTTTAGGGAGACAGAATCTTTCACACTTAATACACTTGTCAAATGCTTTGTGTATTTGGGTAACTCAGATGAATTTTAAAACTTCTAAGATGCCTCAGGCATTGGGCCTTATCTTGCATACACTTAAGCATGTGTGCAATTTTACTCTTGTCAGAAATTCCTATTGGGGCCTAGTCTGTAATGAAAGACAGTGACATGATTTGAAATAACAAAAGTAAGCATCTGACAACTGGAGATTTTATACACACATGCATTGGGACAATTTTGTATTGGGACAGCTCATGTGAGTAGGGGCCATTTGCTGAGTAAGGATTGCAGAATTAGGGCTTGTATTTGGAGTGCCATACACTGAAAAAAATGCAGCTGTAA